AACTAGAGGCTAGACTATTCTAGAGACTGTTATCAAAATACTGATTCCAGATCTGGCATCCATATGCCAAGAAAAATATTCATCATATAGATGATTTGATGTAATGGTCTGAAGATAATGCCTTACAGCAAGAAATTTAAGTGGCACAAGCTATTTATTGACCTAAGGCCTAAACAGTTACATAGAGTGAACGGAAGGGGAGGGTTCTTCAATTTAGCAGAAGAGAACTGGTCATCCAACCTCCTAATCTCCAGGTAGCTTACTAGTGACCAACTGAAAGGGAGTGGGCAAATCCTTCATCATGAGAAAAATATATCTAAAAAAAAATGTGTTAGAGCTCATATATAGATTCAATGATAAAAGGCACAAGAAAAAAAAAAATCAAGAGATGAAGCCCTCAACCCAAAGTTTTATAGAAAGGCTAGATGAGTATAATGGGCTCTGATTTCAATTTCCAAAAGAAAATGCTAACATTGAAGCATAATGACGACAATTTCAATATTAACTTCCTTTCCTGCAAGTAATGGAAAAAGGAAGATTTAAAATCACCTGCTGTGAGCTGGTATGACACGTGTTTGGGTGACAGGGATACACATAATAGAAGATTATTCTTTTCAACCCTACATTCCCAAACGCTAATTGTTTCCCCTCTCCTCCACCCTTAAGCTCTTGAAGAAATGTCTAGAACTGAGTGGGAAGAGGGAGAAAACAGACTTTGGGAAAAGAACAGGAAAACTTACCCCTAACTTTGAAGTTTTGCAGGGATTATTTCAGGAGGTTGCATCAGGGACAGCCTTTCTAGGAAATAATACAGTAAACACTATCTAGAGCATTTCAAAGACAAGTAACTTCAGTGTTTTGTTATATAGGTATGGTTCGTCTCACGGTGTATGTAATGCATCAGAGCCTTATGCTCACAGAGATAACGTAGATAGCCAATGCCAACATTCTTGCAGTTTATACGCGGCTGTGAAATCAATATAATCTATCTAGCACTCTAGGCCTGCATATTTTAGCTTAACTAGCTCATAAACAATGTTTTCAAACAATGTTTTCTCCTACATAATACATCTATCTTGCAATAAAATGAATGTAGTAATAGTTAAAGAGACCAAATGATTAAAATTTCACTACAGGCTATTAAATGTCTGATAAATGAAAGAACAAGGTATTATTTTATAATAAGTTATATATATAATCCTCAGATTTCTTTCAAATCAGAGGGGAAAAAAAAGAGGTAAGTCCAATTGAATTCTTTGGCTATTGAAAATGTACCTTCCATTTATATATACTGAAGAGGCTTATACATGTTTTGGGGGGTTTCATATAGTACCACAATAGTCCTGCTAAGAGTAGTCATCTTGCACCATTACAATCTCTAAATGAACTAAAAATTAGCCATCTCAGAGATCTTTATAAAGTGCTACCAATTAGGAATCAGCACTGTCATTAATTTGGGACATTTCTGGTAGGAATTCACTAGGTATCAAGCAATTCACTACAAAGTCTGATACTGCTTGGTATTTTCACTCATTACCTGAAGTAAAGATTAAATCACCACAGCTAAATCTATCTGCTGACACAATAAGGAACACTAATCGGATATAACAGCGCTACAGTTCAACTCCAACTGACACATGCGAGAAAAAGGGTGAACTCTGTCTAATTTCTTTCCAAGCAAGGCAAGATATGCTTTTCAAGGGAGCCAAGTCACTGAACTAAAGCACAGGTGACACTAAGGCCCACTCAAAAGTCCAACTAAATTAGCCAGTGGCCCTTCTAATCCTAAACTCCTGGGTGTGAGAGGAGGAAAAGGTTATGAAAAGTGTGTACTCACTTACGCTGGTACAAGAGCAGTACACTGCATGACTATATTTGCTCAGATGTAAACAGCTATGCAATGCTTAGTCACTGAAAACCCCGGGACCTACGTGTCTCTGCTTACCTCATTCCGCTCTCATTTAAATCCAAAGGTCAGAATTTTTTATAACCTTTTCCCTTTACATGCTACGTCAGACTAGCGAAGAAGACTTTTCCTTTTGACATTTTCCCTAAAGCAATGCCTTAGTAGGCCAAGAGTGACACTGTCAGACACAGAAAGATAATAACAAAACACTCATCTCTTCCTTGGAATCATAACTGTGCAGATGCCTTGAAGTAAAAAGAATCATGTATGTTCATTTAGAGTTAGAGTACTGGGGTATACTTCTAATCGTCTCCTTTGCTTTAGCTCATCCTCACTTCTTATTTCAGTTTGTGTTTTAACACTTTTACTATAATGGCAATTGTCACATGTCAAGCGTTTATGTAAAAAGATACCCAGCTTTAGGATGCTGACAATGTCCACTGCTCCAAAAAAGCTGAAAACTTGTCATGGGCCCAGCAATTCTACGATAGACAAATATTTACAAAGTATTGTTAAATGTTATTATTAATTTCTTAAAAATAAATGAGCTTGCTAAATAAAATTTAGCAATACTTTACTTTCTTTTACTTCTCTGGAAAAAAAGACTAGATTCCCTCTTCAAGGGTGTTCCACCTTGCCTTCCTTCTCATGTTATTAATGGGCCAAAAGTTATCTAGTCTTTTAAAAATTTAATCATAGCACTTCTTTTGTAACTTTCCACAGAAGTGAATTCCATGCCTGAACAACAGGGTGCATAACGAAGCAAACGTTGCATAGCTAGAACATCTTTGACAACTCAAGGGAGCAAATACTATTAAGCAAATAAAAACACACCAGCTACTTAACGAGCATGCAAGCTCAAAAAACCAGAAAAATATTTAGAAAAGAGAAATACTCTTACTGTATACAACTATTAACTTAAGAATCCCCACTCCCCACAGTACAAAAAAGATGTGAAAAATGCTCTGCTCAACTCCAGACACACTTGCAAAGCTTTCTGAACCCAAACTTGCAGCAACAGAGCACGTTTTTAAAACGTGAAAAACACTAAGTTGAATTGCATCTTGCTTAGAGGCACCTTAAACATCAAGCAAATCCTCCAATCAATCCTTCAAAGCCCTCATTCTCATCAGCAAGCTCAGCCAAAAATAAGAAGCTAGGATGAGGTAAAGCGAAGACAACAATTTGAAGTACACCCCAGCAGTCTAACTCAACTACCAGCCAGAGCTTAGAGAAGTCTGGGAGCTTGGGAACTAGCAACTATGAAAGTCAACAGATAGAGTAATATCTGAAACATCCAGACAGCAATTGGTGCTTTGATGAGCCTCTGTTAATATAGATAATTCAGTGAGAGATATAGAAAACAAGAATATTTTGCAACCGCCCTCATCTTTATACTTCTGTCATAAATAGCTTTTATTCTTTTAAAATCCAAGTAACATTACACAAGGGATGCTTTATAAAATAACAATATTCACACACAATCCAGATGCTCCTCTTTCCCATGAATGTACTAGAGCGTTTAATATTCATCAAGCTCATACTTGTCAAAATCACAACCCCAAGAGCAAGAAGACAAGCTTTGAACAATGGGAGAAGAATGTGTCTTCAGTCTACACACTCATTACCTCAGTTTTATAATTCAATGAAAACACGACTACTTTTCCCCTGTGAGTTTGATCCCATTTCTGCAACACATAGTAATTTCAGCTTTCCTTCTACACCACTGGCAACAAAGGGGGGGGGGGGGGGAGCAGTTCTACACCAAGCAAAAT